GCATTAGCAATTGGCAAAAGGAAAATCTCCAAAACATCAATCGAATGGAAAACAACTGTCATATTCCTGACTTGGTACAGGCATTTTCGTATGTAGAAAATGGTGGATTAAACCTTATTTTAAAGCTAGCTAAACCTCTCACTTGTATGACAGTCGCAAAAAAAATCCGTTAAATTGACAACAATGTGTGAACAAAACAAACATAATACATGTAGGTAAAAATGTTAAAAATAGAGGTACAAATGTACAGCAGTCAATATTGTATTAAAGCCGCAATCACTATAAAACAAACTAAGCTGTCAACAAGGAAAAACAAAATGACGTATAGTTAAAGCCCATACGCAAAATTGAAACACAATAATACGAAAAATTACAACAGCACAACAACACAATCGCGGGATTTACAAGTACCGAGCCACGTTAAAAGGATATTACCAAAATGGACCAAACAGTTAATGTTAATTATTTACATAGACAAATGAAAGAACACTATAACACATAATTAATACGATAAAGCACGTCAGCACCATACTTAATTATCTATGAAGTTAATACGGAATATTTATCAACAAGGTATTGGTATCTCCTGATGAACTTTTTTCTAGAAAAAGGATGAGACGTTATTTGGCATAACCCTGGTTCATCAACGTTTTGCTCAGACAATGGTGTCAAAATCTAAGTAGCAGCTGCAAGCTTTTAAATACCGAATACGTTTGGAAATGTTGATCCAATATGCCAGTGACGTTAGTATATTGCTACTAAGGTGAAGGAAATTGATGATTTCAATATTAAAATCGTCTCGGTTGTTAACGATGCTACTACTGAGATGACCGCTAATGTCAAATACGAGGTTTAAGTCTTCAAATGATGCAGAGGAAGCCATGTCTGTTGTTTCTTTAGTTTCTAGTTCTGGAGGATATATCAATGGAACCCAATCAAACATGTTTGGATTGTTTATGGAAGGAACATCATCAATATGTATCTTAATGTGAGATAAAATGATCTGATTTCTTTGATCTTTTTGTGTTTGACAAGTGTCTGACAGAACTCTGACTCATATGATAATAAGAAGAGGTCGACAAAGAGAGGCTCACAATTGGTTCCAATATGAATGCTGACAATTTGTTGAAAAAGTCTTCCTCTAAATTTAAGAAATGTTAATATGTATAAGAAGAGTGTCAATGTCAAATAGACACTCTCCATCCAAGTCTTAAGTTGTAAAAATGTTGTCATTAAGAAACTCCAACATATTGATCACTTTTTTCTCTGGGTCGAATGGTTTCATTTTTTGTTCACTATTAACAAAATATGATGTATCATGTGTATGGTATCCCAGATAAAGATCGAGATTTGATATATAAACCATTTATTCATTCATTCATATACATATTACTATTTATACTTAATATATACTATTTAAATTGTTTTGTGTATATAAAGATCATGTGTGATTTAAACCAAGTAATAGGCCAATAATTGTGAATTGTTTTATTCATAGGTGTATTCCTTTAATTAATACTGATGTGTTGATAAAATTAAATAACGGAAGATACATTAGTGTGCATTGTGAATTAACAATTATTTAATACACATGTACAACAGATTATTTAATAGTATAACTGTATAATTTAACCATATTTAGAAGAGACATTTGACATGATGAGGTAAATAATTTTCTGTTTAGATTACAACAAATCAGCAAATTAATAATAATATTTGTCGCGTGAAAATTACATTAATGTTATTTGAAGTTGAAGTCTAGTATAAAAGAACAAATAGTTCCGAGTATTTCCAGTTTTTACATCCTTGTTGTTAATGTATGTTTTTTAAGCTGGCCATTAATCTAGAAACGAACCATGTCATCTTATTGATTATATCATAGTTTTATTCTAGAGGTTATTATCTGAAGACTAATTAAGATATCTTTATATTGCCTGTATCGATACTTACAATGATTATCTTATTAATAGATTAAAACATAAATAAATATATATTGTTATACTGGAGTAGACATGATAGATATTAAATCCTGTCGATTCGTTTATAATTTATCATGCATTATAATACTGTGTATGACGTCTTCACACTAAATCCGGCAGATGTGAACTATTTATTATTTTAGTGAAAGCAACATCTTTTATTTATAAGTAGTTATTGACGTTGACGTCATTTATGCTTTGTTTTAACAAAATTGCATTCATATAAATAAATAAATACAGAGTATACTATTCTGATGCATGGACTAAAAAGGATACAGAAACAAGCAAACACTTCTTGAATTAACCTGTATTTTGTCACATTTGTTTGTTTTATACTTATTAGAATTATAAACAATGTAAACTACTGTACCCCCCCCGCCCCCCCCCCCCCCCCCCCCCCCCCACACACACACACACTTTTTTTTAACCTTTTTTACCTATTATCATATGATTATGTCTGCTTGTGTTTTTTCGCACATTGTTGTCAATATAATGTCACTTTCATACAAGTAAGGCATGTAGCTAGCTCATAAACCAGATTTAATCCACCATTTTCTATATATTAAGGAAATACATGTTCCAAGGAAGAATATAATAGTTGTTTTACATTCGTTTGATGTGTTTGAGTTTTTAATTTTGCCATTTTATAAGGAATATTTCACATTTTACTTTTTACTTGTATCAATCAGGATATACAAAGTTTCATGAATTTAAACTTAAGGTTAAATAATAAATATGCTGTGAAACAAATGGTAAAATATATATGGATTTGGAATTGGTGGTCTGCAAAAAAACTTCGCTTCTTCACAAATCAATGCATATTAATACTTAATAACGTATATCTTTTGCAGAGAATAGAACAATGCTCACATAATGATGTTGACATTTTCTTTCAAGCAGTCGAAGCTTTAAATGAAAACGGAAATGTATGTTAAACTAGATTATAGTATTGTTTTGGCTAGATATAAAAAGTAAAATAACGAAAATACAGAACTTCGAGAAAAATTTCAGAAGGATCGTCCCTAAGCAAATGACAAAATCAAAAGCTCAAACACATTAAACGAATGGATAACAACTGACTTGGTACAGGCATTTTCTGATGTTGAAAATGGTGGACTTAGGTAGCAACACACAGTTAGAAGTATAGTTTTGAATTTTGGTCCTTGTGGATTTACCAAATATGAAGTTATTGTGCAAAAAAATTAATTTTTAGACAGCTGAGTACTAATTTAGCCTTCAAAGTTTGTAATAAGAACATCAATATTATTTCTTACATGTTGTTTTGGCTTTTTTTGTTTGACTGTCCGTAATATTGTCATAATTGGACCGGACAGAAATCTGGAAATTAATGTAATGTTTATAAACACTTTTTTTCTGCACAAAATTGTTGATGCAATTTTACGAAAAAATAAGAAGAAAAGCATTTGTTTTTTGTTTGATTTCGGTATATGTAAACAGGTATCACTCCAAGGGATTAAAATTCCACTTCTGGCCAAATTTGGGGAAATATGTGACATCATTACCCCCTTTTTGAATATTTTATATCAAATAAATGCAGGTTGTTGCCATGAATATTCCACGAAGAAATTATATTTTTTTCATTTTTACTACTGACTACTATATGACACAAACAGTAAGTAGGATTTGCAAGAAAGCAAGTAAAAGGGGATGGTACAATTATGAGAGTAAATTTTAATACTTTTTCCTAACAGTGTATTGCTACCTAAACCTCTTTTATAGCAAGCTAATCATCTCACTTGTATGACAATCCCATAATATTCCATTATATTGACAAGGATATGTTTTTTTAACTACGTTATTAAATAGTTATATTACAAAAGTTGAACAGAGTATTATGTGCAGTAAGTAAATATTTAAATGAAGGTACACAGTAATACATATTTGGTGAACAAATGAACTGTTCATCATAATAATCATATTATTATTAATTATATTCAATGTAAATCAATTATATCGATAAAACTAACAAAAGCTCTTACTGTATTTTGGGGATGATGAAGTTGCAATCCATTTGAAGGTATATTTGAATTTGGTTTTTTTTTTCCTTATTTTTCAGATACACGGGACCTTTCTGTTATTAGATATCCTTGGAATTTCTTCAACTTGTGTTTGGTTTTCGCCTCTGACTGTCATATTCGCGACTGCACTTTAGAGAACTTTTCAAAGAGTAGCAGCCATTCAATTGATCACTATTGTAGAACAAAGAAAGTTTTAAATACCAGTATTATACACACGGTTTTAAAGATTTATTATTTGGGTTTGATAATTGTTGTGGTATTTTGTAACGATACAACAACATGCAATTGATCGATCAAAGGTCTAAATTTTCATATTTTTATATCATATGGTATCACAAGTAGTTATAATATAGTTTTCGTTTGGGTCTAAAGTGGACGTAACTATTTTATCATTTGTTTCCTAAACCACTACCACTTAGATCAACCATGAGTTATTCGGATAAGGAAATCATCATAATATCGGTGTGTTTATTTACACTATCTGTTGCAATAGTCATGTATATTGCATTATGTGTGTACCATGTGTTTAGGAGACGATGTTGTAAATTAAGAGGTATGTTTATATTGAATGTTGTTTTTTTTTCTCCGACATGTTAGATGTTCAGATTTGCATGCTAAAGACTATAGCCGTATATTCTCCATTAAGGGTGTGTTATCATTATCAGCGCTAGATTTTCATGTATGTTTGTACCTTTACAAATCGCAAAGCACATCATGTATTGAAGTACTGACACATTATTCCCTTTAAAATGTTGCATTGTTTGTTTTGTATAGATGCATACTGTTCCTAAATTTTGAATGGATACATTATAGATTAGTAAGCAACTAGGTTCAACCTCCTCCAGGTAAATTAGATTGTAAACATGTTTGAATACTCGTTTAGGTCCCTGTTGGCTATTACGCTCTCTCTCTATATATATTAAACATGTTAAAAAGTAGTTTACTCTTTAGATTTCAAAAGTGTTTATGATTGAGATTAATCAAGAAAAGCTGTTCTAATCTATCAAACTTATAAGATACGATCATTGTCTTATATTTTTTTAAATCTTATCTACTTCTTTTTAATATTCATTTCATCGTTCTGTTGTCGATTTAAATTGTCCGAAATTAGGAAGAAAAAAACGAAATGCTAGAATTTATTTGTTATCTGAAAATAACATATGCGTTATATATGTATGACAAATCAATGGTCTAATGTTTTTAAGGTATTGTTCAGCGATTTGTTTGTGTAATACGACCAAGTTCTCATACACGTGCGATACCAATTCGATTATTTTAAGTAAAGTTGGGTTGCAGAGTGTACACTTACGCCTGACAGGGTCCATTTGAACTTGAATACAATGGTCGCATTATTGTGATCTCATATCAACGTTGAGTTTATCGTAACACAGACTTTTCTTATGTATTAAGAATAACAGGTCAGAAATATTGTTAGAGTGTAACGTCTGTCTAACAGGGAAGATCAATGACCTCATATTCATGTTTTATTTTCAACTAAAATGAAAATCAATAATAATCAGGAGTGAAAGCTTACATTTGTCGTCTGGTGGAAATATAAAAATTCAATCCTGGTATCTATGGTGAGTTTATTTAGCCTATTCGCTCTTTCTATCTTAGACAAAATAAGGCCCCTCGTATCATTAGTTGGTATTGTTCTTTTTAAATTTTGAAAAAGGTATGATGAATAACAAGCGATTAGAAGAGACTTGTGGAAACTGTCATACACCTACGATTACAATTAAATGTATAGGTAACCTTTACATGCACGATCATTTCAAACCGTCATTCAAAAGCAAATCTAACTCCTGTGGTGTGTTTCTGTATTGCACAACGTTTTTTGCTTTAACCCAATATTAACAGCCACAATAAACAAAAACGCTTAAACAATTAGGATATGCAATCACGTTATTATGGTTGCACAGATTCAGTTGAATGTTCAATTCAGATATTTGTATACAAAAAAATCAAAAATGAAATAGTTAAGATTTTATTAAAATGTTGAAACAAAATCCTTGACTTTATGAGTTACCAGTTAAATATACATTACATTAGTTGAAATCGTAGACTTACTACAGACGCAGGCATGACGAACATGATCGTAACTACAAAAAAAAGTACATCGAGACGAAACTGACATTATGGACTTAAAAAAGAAATCACTGATTGGTAACCGGTATAAAGTTAATTGGCAAAGTCAGGTCTAAGCTACCGATATTTAAAAAAAATAAATTTACTATATATCTAAATTTTATTTGACAGATGAAGCACATGCAGACCCAGTAAAACTGTACAGTATGAAGGAAATTGTAGGTAATATAATACACAGGTATATAAATAAAGAAATTACGGGAGTTGGAAAAAAGCAACCCCAACGACATTGAAAATTAAAGGCAACAGAGATATACCGCTGTTCAACATGTTCAATAGTCTTAATTCGATTAAGCTAAAACAAATCCGTGTCACAAACTAAAACCGAGGGAAACCCAACACCTACCTGTAAAACAGAAAAACAACGGATCAACAAAATATCTGAAACACCAAAAAAGCAAACTCCAACATTTGTAGAAACGGACTGTAAATAACTATTGCCATATTTCTGACCCACTTAGAACACACACGCATTCAAAGAAAATTGCACTTGACTTCATGCGTTCGGACCGCTTTTCTGCATTAATCTTAATCAGGATTGGTCCAACCAGAATGTCGCTAAGCCACGATATATAAGACCTAAACACGTGAAGAGTTATATGATCAAGATGGACATAGAATAATATAACAGGTGCTGTATTGTTACCGACAACCATGCGTCTTCTCTTTAGTTATGTATTGATCTAATAAGGCATGCGTTACAATAATTTTCAAGAATATGTGTATACTTAGTTGCTTTTGTTTATAAATGACGCATTAGATGATATACTTAACCCCGATCTATGAAGTGAACTTGTGGAGCTATGCGTCAATTCATTTAGACAACATGTGAAATATTATCGTCCGAACATTCGTGTAATATTGGCTGATAAACCTTATTCATCAATACATTTTGAAATACATTTTTTAGACTAAATGGTATAGATAATGATAAACTTGGATGATTTATTTCCCTTTACAACAAAGGTGGCTTTCCAATCTCATTGGTTGTTGGTTTCCACTTCCGCCAAAATATCTTTTTTACATAATTATATATTTCATATATTTCATGTATTTGAAATTGATGACGATACATTCGATCGATTACTTTCGTCCAGTCCCTTCCAGTCCGACTTATCGAAGTAGACATTATTCATTTTATAACCTTAATGTGTATTTCATAATAGAAGAAGATAGAATGGATCTTTCAAAGGCACGTCAATTAAGACAAGATAACCAACGCCATAGAAAGCTAGCATGTAAAAGGAAAGGTAATATTCATCATAATATTTAAACTTTAGATAAGATAAAGTTTGGTGAGCTCGTTAATGAAAAAAAAGAAGAAAAAATTAAAGGAAAAGTATCGTAATAAGAAAATTTGTTAGGATTTCACGGAACCCAGTGTCTCGCCTACATTATGAAGCTAATAAATGTTTTAGGAACTTCAACTGTAGATTGTATGTTATGTTAACTGGAAGAAAACTACGTAGATAATTAAGTAACTTACGGAAAAACAGGAAATATATTTTTACAACATTTTCTTCTAGATACTAGATTTTGACCATTAACAAGCTTCTGTCAAAGTTTGGTAGAAATCCAGGATAGTTTAAGAAAGTTATTAAAATTTTAAAAACTTTAACCACAGAGTGAATGTTAACTGGCAGAAAAACATAGTTCATTTATAAGTAAAATAAGGAAAAAAGGATTTTTTTTTACAAAATTTACTTCTGAATACCATCTTCTGATCATAAACAAGCTTTTGTCCTAGTATGGTAGAAATCCAGGATAGTTTACGAAAGTTATTAAAATTTTAAAAACTTTAACCACACAGTGGATGTAATGTTAACTAGCAGAAAAACTAAGCCCATTTATAAGTATAATACGGATAAACAGGATTTTGTTTTACAAAAAAATTTATTTTTGGATACTATCTTATGATCATAAACAAGCTTCTGTCCAAGTTTGGTAGAAATCATGGATAGTATAAGAAAGTATTTAAAATTTAAAAAACTTTAACCACAGAGTGAATATGTGTGGACGCCACCACCGCTGACGACACCGACGACGGAATGTAGGATCACTATGTCTCGCTTTTTCGACAAAAGTCGAAGGCTCGACAAAACTGAAATCAATAAATCACTTCCCTTCCAAATCTCTCTACCATTCGGAAACTAAAAATTAGGAACACAGATTTTATTAAGGAATGCGAATACCTACTATATGATAAAAAAAAATAAATGGAATAACTTAATCCCGAATATAGCTATATCTTCAACTTAACAAACACATAAGAAAATACTACTTAATATTACTCATAATTAAGATTTGTCTTGCGTTTGGCAATCAAAACCAGCGAAACTGGAAAAATTCATGTAGAATTTAAAATATGGTCTCGTTTTAATAGCAGTCGTCAAGTTTACGCTTTCTGATTGATATTGCGAAAGTATTTTTATATATATATAACCCGGTTGTATTTTGACGTTAAACTATCATCCATAAAAAGTGAAAAGTATATATTGTGTTACTAGTAACGAGGTTCTAGCAAGTTTTCTACCTGACGTTGTAGCTTTTGCTGTATGCAAAGACGAGATAACCAGTCATTAAGTGCTTTGTTATTCCGAAAATCACAAAGGGAAACAACTACACAAACTGCAAAATAATAATTATTTTTAATTTACTGTAATTAACAGCAGAGATACTTGAGTAAATATGTTCATGCTGGTAATTTAAATATAAATTTGTGGACAAAACTATTCAAAGAGATTGAAAAAATTACATTTGATATACTAATAAATTAAAATAAACGAGTTCAACTATGATGTAATTAAACCTTTAGTACTTCTAAATGTGACATGAATACCTTTCAACCGAGAAGGCTAGTTATAAAGACTATGATGTTGATTAAGACACTGAGGAGGATCGATTTTTTTCTCTTTAAAAATTGATATTAACGTTTATGGTTATCTGTCAAATGAGCCTTTGCTCTCAACATATCTAACCTTGTTGCATATATGGCTAATGAAACTTAAAAGACGTCTACTATTTTGTTTTATGCTACTGCAATGATCGGTTAAACCGATTAAAATCTCTAAGCTAGAAAAATATTGAAAAACAACAACAATTTCTTACGAAAGTTCTAACTTCGTAACATGGGTGTTTCCATTGGCATCCGGTATAATATACGGAATAAAGAGTTTTACTTCTGTTTAGCCAATGTTGATGCAACTGTACTTCTGTATAAGTCATTCTTGCTAACTGCTCTTAAACGCTCGACTTTGTAAACCTTTTGGTCTAAACTAAATGTATTGATGTTTAGTTAATACAATACTCGTCGTGTTGTCTGAAGTCATAATTGTAAATGAATATTCGCATTTTAGTGATCTTGTAATTCTGTGTACTGAAAAATAAAATGTTCCAATATTCCCCATGAAATATTAACTTTTTAGGTCTCACATTTTGTATCTTTTTAAGGAATACTACTAGAATGTGTTCATTTAAAAACATGTTCAATTAATCGAAATGAAACGCAACCCTCGTCGTATTATAAAAACAGACATTATTATGCATTTACATGTATTATAAAAGATGTGTTCGTAGACCATTATAATAATGTTACTACTTATTTGGTCTAACATGTGTGTATTTATAAAAACCAGACCTCCCTCCTGCATGTTAGATTTAATTTAAAAGAAGGCTTGTATTTTAAGTCAACACGGTCAAATAAAAAAATGTATCCGTCAGTAATGAAATTAAAGGATACAGCGGATTTATATTGAATAAACGGAACGTATCTAAAATTGAATATTTGTTATGATAGATGCAGAAAATATCAGCCCCCCTGGAAAGATGAGATTCTTCGAATTATCAGGTTAGAGTACTCACCCTTTTAAAAATATGTTTTAACGTAATAGCTTTCGAAGGGAATTGTTGAGTAAGTGTCAATAATGAAAAACAAAAAAATTAACAAAAAACACATATTACTATCCATATACAGAGGAAAGAAACTGTCAATAGACAGTTTTGAAATAAAACATAATGTGCACAAAATGTCAGTGACTGATTTTAATAGATGAGTTCATTTTAAGGCAGTAAAAAGTAAAATCACAAAAATACTGAACTCCGAGGAAAATTCAAAACGGAAAGTCCCTAAATGTCCGTGAAGTTCAAATCTCGTAAAATTATTAATACGGGACACATCACAATTGCAAACAATAAAAATAGAATTAAATGAACTGCAAAATGAACGAGACCGGGTGCTTTTTCTGCTACTCATTTATCACCCATTATACGAATTTAAACCCAGTTTAATATCACAGTCGGTAATAGGACACCCTAGGAAAGACAACAAAACAGATAATTTTACTGGCATTTTAAGAAAGGTGAATTGGATAATTAAGTAATTTAAACACATTATTTCTTATTAAAGTGACATGCACTAGTTATATGAAACCAGAATAGTTTTCAAGAAAAATTGGTATTATAAAGACTATGATGCTGTAAAATAAACCCGATATAAACATTATATGTTTTTTTGTTAAACGCGCCTTTGTTCTCATCATCTCTAATCGTTTTGTAAACTTATCTCACGCAACTATTTGCGTCTACCATTTTTTTTAATGATTAGCATAAAAGATTTAAAACTACAGGCTCTAGAAAAATTAAGGAAAAACACCAACAATCACCTACAAAGGTTCTAACATCCTGACATGGTTATGTCAATTGATATCCTCAATGTATGGTATGTTAGATTTAATTTAAAAGAAGGCTGTTATTTCATTAGTCCATTTCCAGCGGGTTTATTTTGAAAAAAACGAAATGTCGTTAGAAATAATGATGTTGTTTATCACAGAAGCAGAAACTACCAATACACCAGTAAAGCGGAGTTTCTCAGTATTTCAAAGTAAGTGTACTTATTTTTTTTTTTATAAATATTATTAACATAAAAAGTAAAATCACAAAGGAGTAGGTCCGGCAAGGGCCGATTTTGGCCTCAAATTTCAGGTGTATCTGATGAAAGATTTTGGACACTTTTAAAACACTTAAGTGTCTACTTCAGTCGATTCAATAAGTCTATGTGAAAGATTTGAACTGATTTAGTCATTTAAGACGCTCAAATTCAAGATTAAAAATGAAAAATCTATAAAATATGCCATAATATGTCGCTTTTCAGATGGTTTGTGTCAAAAATGAAAGTGGCCGCATCTGTGTTCACTCTCAACCTTTATATATGTTATGCATTATCATCAAATACAACTTACATTTAAATATTAAGAATCAACACAATTGCGGCCACTTCCATTTAAGACGGAAACCGTCTAAAATTTAACTCAAGTGCTAGAATTGTGAAGATCTCAGTAATTTATCCTGACTTAATGATGCTAGTAACCGATGTGTGTCCATTGTATTGTCAAAAACCGCACATATTTATGTAGCAGATTGAAGTATTCTACTTTCCAATTCATAGCTAACAATTTTGTAAAACTGTTATATTTTGGGACCAAACTTACTGAACCTACTCCATTACTGAACTCCGAGGAAAATTCAAATCGGAAAGTCCCTAATCAAATGGAAAAATCAAAAGCTCAAACACATCAAACGAATGGATAACAACTGTAATATTCCGAATTTGGTAAGGCATTTTCTTAAGTGAGACAATAGTGGATTAAACCTGGTTTTATAGTTAGCGTAATCTCTCACTTGTATGACAGTCGCTTAAATGTCCACTACATTGACAACGATGTGTGAACCAAACAAACAGACATAATAGGTAAAAATGTCATAAATAGGGGTACAGCAGTCAACATTGTGTTATAATCTATATCACTATGAAAAAAAAAAGAAGCACAAAAAGGCATATAGACAAACTACATTAGCAAAATAAAAGACAAGAATACAAATAACTATAGCACAATAACACAATGATGGGATGTATAAGTACAGAACCACGTCATATGTGACAAAGAAACACAAAAAAGCATATAAACAAAGCACATTAGCAAAAATAAAAGGCAGCAACAAAAATTTACTATTGTACAATAACACAATGACGGGATGTATAAATACAGAGCCACGTTGTTGTAACAAAGAGACACAAAAGGGCATATATACAAAGGACATAAGGAAAAATTAAAGGACAAGTATACAAAATTTGTTTTGCAATAGAACAATAACACAATGACGGGATGTACAAGTACAGAACCACGTTCTATGTAACAAAGAAACAGACAACGGTATATAGACAAAGCACATTAGCAAAACTGAAAGACAAGAACACAAAATTTGTTTTACCATAGAACAATAACACAATGACGGGATGTATAAGTACTAAGCCAAGTCAAATGGATATCACCCAAAAACAGACTAAACAGTAAAAATAATATTCATAAAGACAACTAAAAGAATAACAACGTAAATGATAATTCGCACTTTTGAGGTCTTATAATTCTGTGTACTGAAAAATAAAAATATTCCAATGTTCGTCTTGAAATATTGACTTTTTATGTCTCACATTTTGTATCTGTTAAGGAAAACTACCAGAATGTGTTCATTTAAAAACATTTTCTAACAATCCAAATGAAAGGCAACCCACATCACATTATGAGAACAGACATTTATATGTATTATAGAAAGATGTGTTCTTAGACGATAAACATAATGTTACTACTTAATGAATATAAAATGTATGTATTTATAAAAACCCTACATCCCTCCTGTATGTTAGACCTAATTTAAAAGAAGGCTTGTATTTCCATAGTCAACATGATCAAATCAAAAAGATATCCCTGACTGATGAATTTAAAGGATACAGACGATGTATATTGAATTAACAGAACGTTCTTTAATTTGAATGATATTTTTCATAATAGATTCAGAAAATACCAATCCTCCTGGAAAGCTGAGTTTCACAGAATTATCAGGTATGTGTACCCACCTTTAAAACAAATATTTAATGTTATTTGCTGTCGAAGAGAATTGTGGAGTAAATGTCAATCAGGAAAAACTAGAAAACTAACAACAAAAAAACATTAGTATTCATATGCAGATGAAAAAAGGGTCAATAGTCAGTTTGGAGTAAAACACAATGTGCACCCAATGTCAGTGATTGATTTTAATAGATGCGATTAACCAATATTGTTTCTTTCGTAATTGAATGCTAGAAAATATCAAGTAAACAGTCATGTACTTTTTGAAAAGGTAATAAGTGAGGTAGTAGTTGCTCGTGAAGTTCGCGTCGAATAGACTGGTTAAGAAGGCAAACATCACAATAGCAAATAAAGAAAAATAGAATCATATGAACTCCAAACTGACTAAGACCGGATGCTTCTCCTGCTAATCATTCATCACCCTTCATACGAAATCAGACTCAGTCAAATTTCACAATCGGGATTAAGACACTCTAGGAAAATAACAAATCAGATAACTTTGCTGGCATCTAAAGATATGCGAATTGGATTATTATGTAATTAAAACAAATTATTTCTAACTAAAGTGACATGCGCTTGTCATATGAAACCAGAAAATTTTCAACAGAAATTTGTTTATAAAGACTACAATGCTGATTTAAACACTGGAAAACATCGATTATTCTCGGGATTCTCTAAATATGATCGGTGTAAACATTTTATGGTCTTCTTTTCAATGCGCCGCTTTCGTTCTCGTTTTGTAAAAATGACTAATGTAACTTTTGAAGTCTACCATTTTTGTAAGGGTACTGTAATGAATTGACCAAAAGATAAAATACCACAGGCTGTGGGAAAAAAATATTGAAAAACACCAGCAACCACTTACAAAAAAAACCCTAAATAACAAAATTACCGAACTCTGAGGGAAATTGAAAACGGAGAGTCCTTAAACAAATGGCAATATGTTTAAAACTCAAACATATCAAACGAAAGGGTATATAGTTATCAAATGTACCAGGCTTATAATTTGATACGCCAGATGCGCGTTTCGTCTACATAAGACTCATTAGTGATGCTCAGATCAAAATAGTTAGAAAGTCAAACAAGTATAAAGTTGAAGAGCATTGAGGAACCAAAATACAGTCATATTCTTGAATTGGTACAAGCATTTTCTAATGTGGAAACTGGTGGGTTGGAGCTCGAACCTCGTAATATGGTTATTTCTATTGTTATACTTATAAATGCTAGATTTAATTTAAAAGCAGGTACTTCCATAGTCTATTTCAAGCGGGTTCATATTGAATAAACGGAATATATTTAAAATTAAATGATGTTTTTCATAGTTGTAGAAAATACCAACTCACCAGCAAAGCGGAATTTGTCTGTAGTTCAACGTAAGTGTACTCACCTTTTTTTAATATTGTTAACATAATTTGCTATCGATAAAAAATGTGGAGAAAGAATCAATAAGGAAAAACTAGCAAAACAAAAACAGAAACACAATTATGAATTATATGCAGAGGTCAACACACTGTTAATATACAGTTTTATATAAAACATAATGTACGTCAAATGTCGAACAAATGTCAGTGATTGATTTTGATTGATGCGATCTGAAATCGGTCATATATCTATCTTACTTCAGTTGGTGTATAGGGATTTAGTACACAATCAACAACCGTCTTGACTTAACAATGATTTAACTTTTTGAAAAAGGTATTTTAAGTCAACAGTGTATACTGAAGTTCAATTCATGTAGAATGGTTAAGAAGAGAAACATCACAATAACAAACAAAAATAAGGGAATCACATGAACTTGTCATGCTTTGCATTCATCGTTCGCCATACGAATTCACAATCAGTAAAAATCTCACAATCTGGAATAGGGCACACTAGTAAAAATTACAAATCATTAATTTAATTGGTATCTACAGATTTTACAACGCGATTACGTGTCAGTAGTCCTTTAAAACACCAACACATCGTATCGGTGGAACTCTTTTTGAAAGTTACTGTAAAACTTAAGAAGTGTCGATTTTAGTCGTTCTGCCTCATATTTCTGTTAAAGCATTTTTTGCGTAAGGAGCACACCGTGTTAATAAAGTCTGTTTAATGTAAACATGTACGTAAGTAACGTTTTTAATGATATATATAAATGCTAAATAAGTGTACCAATAATGATAAGAATACAAGGAGACAATTAGGGGAAACAATTCATCATTGGTAGGCGTTCAATATCTAATCAAACAACTTAATGAAACAAACAGGAGATGTGAAGATCACCACATGAGGTTTTCATTACAGACAAGCACAAATATCACATGTCTAGTCCGGTGTTATCACTTAATGTGCATCATTTCATGTGCAAAGCATACTAAATCAATAAATATTTAAAATAAGTAAACAGTGAATAAAAGGTAAACATTATAAAAGCTAAGATTTGTTGTTTGTATTATTTGATTTGTTTATTATAGGTGAACAATGCTTGGTTACATTCAGTTATAAAGGTAAATATCAACTTTAAAAGATAGAAGACTCCTTATCGATGATCATTATAGCTTCTATTGTTTGGTTAGATAGTCTTAAACGTGATTGTTAAGGGTCATTTAGTCATTGGTGTTCTGAAATATACATAATGCCTACATGAAAGTATCGATTTGGTAGTTATCCAAATGGTTTATGAACTAGTTTTCGTTTGAATTACGTCTAGTTCTATTTCCCATACATGAACACGTATCGCTTATAGCCAAAATACATAACAGCAATCATTATGCTAAAATCTTCAATAATATAATCATGTTTAACTTCATCCAATTATATTTTTAAAATAATTTTATCACACATCAATGTTGCAACATTGTCACTGTGAAGTTACTGTCAAACGCTAACATTACAAAGTTTAAAACTTCTTCATGACAACTTGTGTAAAGAGATGATAACTATTCGCGTGTTACAACAAATAACCTAAAATAATTATTTACACGTGACAAGAATTTAGTCTTAATTCAATTTCTTACAATGTCTTATTGACGGTATCATTATTTATGATAAATTCCGATAATTTGAAGGCGACAATTACCCAATATGTACCATGAATGTAACGTAATCATGATTAATATTTGGCCCATCTATACTACTGAAAAAACGAGGTCTACTTTGCTAGCCGCCTTGACGTAAAAACGATGAATCAAAGCATTCAACTTTATATATAACTTTTATAGGACAATGGTGTTGGTTTTAAAATTACACCATTCCAGGACCATTTTTCCACATAAATAATATTACCAATAATTAACAAGTTCCGGGTCGAATCAGATACCGATACCAATAGTACATGTCAAATTTAGTTCCCGCTTGTAGTTGTGTGTTACCTTCTATAAATCTATTCTCTATCAGGAGAATCTGGAATTCTTCCAGGAAATGTTTTACATCTATGTTTCACTATAGTTCACTATTTAACAACTAAATATAAAAAGAAGATGTGGTATGATTGCCAATGAGACAACTCCTCACCATAAACCAAATGACACAGAAATTAACAAATATAAGTCACGATACGGCCTTCAGCAATGAGCAAAGTCAATACCGCATAGTCAGCAACAAAAGGCTCCGAAATGACAAATGAAAATAATTCAAACGAGAAAACCAACGGCCTTATTTATGTACAAAATAATGAATAAAAACAAATATGATACACAGCAACAAACGGCAACCAATGAATAACAGGCTCCTGACTTGGGACAGGCACATACAAAATGTGGCGGGGCTAAACCTGTTTGGCGGGCACCAAATCCTCCACCTAACCTTGGACAGTGGTATAACAGCACAACAGAAAAACAAACTATTCAAAACAATAAACGAATAACACATATTGTATACAGAAACAAAAAAAAAAAACAACCTCTGAATTACAGGCACCTTACTTGGGAAAGACAAATACAAACTGAGGCGGGGTTAAACATGTAAGCGGGCGCCAAACCCTCCCCTAACCCTGGGACAGTGGTATAATAGTACAACATAAGAACATCAGATGAAAAAAGCTTAACTCATCAGATAGATACAAATAGAAATACATCTAACAAAAACACCAAAAAGACATTAAATACAAATCTGAGTCTTTTTCATTCCACCTCAACACTACTATCAATTTCAATTAATTAATTAAACAAATTAATTCGGATAATATATTGAGTTTATTGAAGTAAAAAAAAACTAGGACAGGTTCAAACAGAAAGATTTTGAAACCAGAGAAAACTGTGCACCTTACAATCAGCATGACTTTATCAGAAGACAATACGAATACTTATTATTCAGGCTAAAAAAAAAGCATAGGTACTTTAATTCAGTCACGGACTCGCAATGTCGTGTTCTAGTTTGTTTTATAATAAACATGAATCATCTACCATATACATACCTTAATTAGAGATATTGTTTAATAAAACTATATCATAATGTCAAATATCTACAACTACTCTTTTTGTCAGTAATATTTTTAATAAAGATATAGTAAAAGTTAGAGATTTATATTTTTCACAAACTGTCCTGAATAAAATAAAGAAGTCATAATAATCCCAAACCCAGAAATGAACATAAAGCATGTAAATGAGAGGATGAATAGATAACCACAGTACTTATGATAAACCCATTAAGTGAGATTCGTAATCTATCGTACACAGAATACTGTGACTGAAGTATGTTTCTTTATATACACGCTGCTGAATTTTAATTGTTTTCGAATTTAGAAAGATACCGGCAATGATAAACTGGAAAAATGGAAAATCTTTAAATACTCAAAATAAAAAAAAAGTATACTCCAATCCGTTTATTTGTTCGACAGTAGCAATGATAAGAGGGTATGATTCATTCAAGTTAGAGTCAATGTTGAAGTGTCTGTAGAGCAAGTCATTGAAGGACAAAGAAACGCACAATACATATATTCTGAAATATGCAACTTTTATAATAATGAATTATATGAATTTATAGTCGCAAAACTTTTTTTTTCAATATCTACTATGTTTGACAAGGATGTTTCAATTTGAATCACACGTTTCACGTACGCTGCTACAAATACAAGATTTACGAACACTTCTTAATATAAATTATTAGTGTGTTTTTTTTTACACTCACACCTTTGTCTACAATTCGCTTGTACAAATGACTAGTTCTGTATATTTATTTGAAAATTATCGTTATGCTTCTGTTTGATTCAATAAAGTTTTAGAACTACGTTTTAATTGTTCTGTACCTGTGTTGTTGGCTTTACTTGGTAGAGCATTAGCTTGACTGCCACACACCTTATATGAAAACGCAGTATGTTGATGCTTAGACAAAACAAATCTGCTTTCTTGAAAGAAAAAAACAAAAAACAAAACACAAACAGATAGAAATAATCTTGTTTTTTAATGATATATTGTTTTTCGTTTGATACAGGTTCATTTGATATTGAAGAATACCGAAATTATGCAAAAGGTAATATGATTATAAAATTATCATTCACAAACAATGTCTCAATATATTAAAGAAATAACTGATATAGCATGTCTGGATACTTATGTGCAACCATTTATTTTTTTTAATTAAATGAATTATAGATCAGAAGATAGTTTTTGAGCCGACCAGAGCAATATTTAAGTAAGAACAGGTCTGAATATTTGTCCAAGCCGAAGCTTACTTGAGATAGACTGACTTCGAATCTTACTTCAGTCGCACCCCTTATCTACTCAAAAGCTATCTTCTGATCAATAGTTCATTAAATTAAAAAATCAAATGGTTACACTGTTGAGTGACAAGCAGCTCATGTACATTTCTGATTTTGATACAGATGCTATTCTTCAAGTAATGTGTGTTTTATATTAAATGTCAATTGGCGAACTGCTTGACAAAACAACTGTTGTTAAATAAGGTGTACAACCTCTTTTGACTTATTATGAAAGAGGTTTATCAATGTTCAAAGAAGTTTAGTTTGATATAATACCCAGTTTTATCCACCATTTACTACATAAAGAAATGCCTGTACCACGACAGGAATAATAACAGTTATTCATGTTTTTTCAATTCGTTTGGTGCATTTCAGATTTTGATTTTGTTCTCTGATAAGGGACTTTACTTTTTGAATACGCCTTGGAGTTTTGCATTTTTAAAATTTTACTTTTTCAAAAATTTACATAATCAGCTGAGTTACAATTTCAATATTTATATAAAGACGAGCTTATCTTAAAAACATTTAACAGTATATTTTTGGCTGTTGCATCTATCAGTACATGCATATCATCAGCTTATTTCCTCATACATGTATTTTCATAAACACATTCATTTTCTCACCAATCAAACATCAATAGTTATTACTAAGATAGTAATATAGATATTATTCGCAATCCTAAAACAATTCGTCGTTTAATAATGTGTTGTTTCTTGTAGAAGAAAAACAGATGTCTGTTGATTTCATTCAGCCACTTCAAGACCAGGCAATAGTGTGGGTGCCACCTCCACCACCAGATCCACATAATCCTACATGACGATAAAAATTGTTATTGAAAGAAGAACATTATTCTGCGTATAAAACTCCTTTCAAGGAGACAACTATGATTAACCATTTAAACCATCCCTTTTTTAATGGTTTACAGTACTTGCAACCTTAGGCATTACTGTTTGAGCAGAACATCATGACTGAATGGTGATGATTGGTGTTGCATGTTTGACTGATCGATGAATGATAAGTGATCGATAACCCATAGAATCCATCAGATACGTGAAATAAGATACGTGAGAGTTACCGTGACAACGGTCAGCGATCTATCAGTAAATAAGTATATGCACGGTCAATACGGATAGGTATATAATTAAAATTGTTATGTACAACGAACTCCGTAGTATTTACATGTCATAAAAGTTGACCTCTACGAAGATACCTTTATTCGTTATTTTGTAATCAACTTTGTCGCAATAACACATACACAATTTATATGAATTACTTTTCACGCATTATATGTATTTTTTCATCATTGGTTCTCTAATGTTTCTCCCAAACAGATTACATAAGTGCAAAATAATGTCATGCTCAGAACGCTTTTATATCAATAAAAAGAGATAAAAATGTTATCATTTGAATTGAGTTCCATATTTAGCAATTATGCATTTTAATGTCACTAGATGATAAATAAAAAGAATAACAGAACAGTTAAGATTTTTTCTTAAAATGTCCTGTACCAAGTAAGGAAAATTAAAAGTTGTTATCTTATAGTTCGTTTCTGTGTGTGTTACATTGTCGTTTGGTTTTATGTTGCACTTCAGTGTTTCTGTTGTTTCGTTTTCCCCTTACAGGTGATGTGTTTCCCTCGGTGTTAGTTTTAACCCGGATTTGTTTTCTCTCCATTGATATATGACTTTCGAACAGCTGTATACTACTGTTGCCTTTATTGAATAAGAATGCATTTATTTCTGTATTCAAATGAAAATTATGGACGCCATTGGAACTTAACACTTCATGTAATTCATGATTTTTTTTTATTAATGATTCATATCAAAGAAAATATAGTCAATTGCGTTTGCATTTTATGACTAAGAAAATATTTATTCTTGTTATAAAAAATAATGCACAGGTGTTGGCAATCAGTTATTTTAAATGCCTCTGAATAAATATTTCATAAATTGTAAATAATGTAATAATGAGTAAGCTAAACTTTTCTTTTTGTTGAAAAAAAATGCAATCGTTTTTTATTTTAATGGTAATTATTGACCGCATTTGAAATTCACTAAAATATTGTTCGCGTTGTTTAGAATTACTCATATTTATTCATGTTATAAGAAAATATGCAATGTTATCTGTTATCAGTTATTTCAAAGGTATCAAAATATATTTTTTTGGGAGATACATGTGAATAATATAAGCTTGTGTTGAATAAGAATGAAATAATTTATATATTCTGATGGAAATTATGACCCGTCATTTGATTTTGATACTTTTTGTCTTCAGAATGGGTTTGATTTCATAGATATGCTTAATTTATCAGGAAAACGATACTAAAATTATGTTCATATTGCTTAAAAATGCAATGGTTTCTTCTTTTATATCAGAAATAATGTCACATCATTTGCAACCAGTCATTGTTAATGCATTTAGGTAAGTATTTTTTTTTTAATAAGATATGAATAACATTATGCGCTGTTGTTAGCAGTCAATATGTTAATTGCGTTTGAATAAGTTTTTTTCTTTAAATTTAATTATATAGGGATTAAGATATTCAAACTCTTCGATTTCGTATTAGAGTGCATTGCTTGATATCATTTAGATTTAAATACACAAAAACCATCATTGAATACAATTATAGTTGTTTGGTTGTACCCAAAAATATAAAATGAATTTTGAGGGAAAATATAGTTTATAGTTTGCCTGAATTGTTTTGGAGTCTCCAACTTGCACATATATTTATCTTATTGAAAAAATTACACAGACATTTGCAATAAACATGATAAATGACCATTAACTCATTTTTCAAAGCAAAATCGTGTTAACACTCATTGGGTTTTATGAATAACCTAGATATAAACTTCAATCACAATTCTGTTATCATATTTAAATTCAGTTCCATCTGCATATTTATCTTCACTTTTCATTCTTAAAACTTTGCCGAACAATGAATGAAAAAATGTTTAGGTTTTGTACCTGTACAATTCGTTCTGATGGACTGGTGACGTGAGATTAATGCAAACATGACTAATCGGTGACTGATCAATGATTGATGATTCATCGCTAAAATAGTAACATCTAAGACTGCAAGAACTGTAGTTTTAATTTGTTTACATGTATAAATATACACAACAGTGACTTGGTTAACTTTCTCTCTTAAATATTACTACTGACTAACTGTGGATAGATTATTATTCGTGTAGTAGTTGTGTTTGAACTTGATTTTTATTGATAAGGGTTGCCAGTTTTGTGTAGACGGTCGGAGTTTCTCTGTTGGCATTTCTTTTCCCCCTGCACTGTTCATTATTTATAGATATAGCGTTCTGCTTAACATCTTGTAAACGGGATTCGTAAGTAGCATACACGTCTTTGGTAACATAAAGCTGGAATTTAACACTCACTTACCATAGAAGTGAGTGATATTGAGAATTTTGTGAAGTCAAGAGGATTCACAGCTTATGCAGTATGAGGTTATTTAATGTAACACAAAATACAAAGTTTAAGCTCAGAGGTTATAAGAGCAAAAACACACCTATGTGATTTAATGATACACATATATAAAATTTTAGAAATACCCAAATTCATGAACGGTATAATCTCAAAATAATATTCACATGTATCACTAAAGTATTTATGTTGTGTTGACAGATACAATGGAATATAACAAGTATTTTCATACAATAGTTAAAATTGTGTGTATCTGTCCTTACATAGAACCCATTTCAATTGAGAACACACATTTTATTTCTTAGTATTTGTGGACAAAACGTGTTGTTAAAGTATATGTTCAGAAACGTAACATCATACTTTTCCCCGTACTTTAATTATTCCATTGTATTTGTTAGAAACATTAAATTACAAGACAACAAAGCTAAAAGAAAGCTAGAAGAAATATCATGATTTCATAGAAGGAAAAAAAGTATTGCCTCAAATTTAAGATGTAAATTACTGAATCAGGTATTAAAGAAAAATATTGTCCTAATAATAGAGCGATGTTTCTATAGTTTATATTTATCGCGTTTGGCGAATCATATTACCATACGATTGTACATTTATTCTGATTGCACGTCTTCTCATCTGGAAATAAAAGAATTGTATATTTATTTTTTGAGGATAATACAGGTTTCACATGTTGTTTATATGATGAAACGTTTGCCTCTGCCACCATGAATGAAAATGAGAACAAAAAACACTACATTCTTTGTGAACATCAATGTAATCCCTCTTTTATGTACTGTAAAATTCACTTGCAACATCATACTTTGGTCGTTGAAGGAGGAAACATCTGTTAATTCTTACAAGACAGTAGTTTGCCTTTCAGTGTAATGACAAGTTGAATGTCTATAATCATTTTAAAGAGGAAGCAAAAACCCACATGTCAGTCAGTGAATTATCCTTAGATGGACGGGTGTATGAAATTGATGGTTATTTATCTTAAGAATCTCATATGGCCAAGGGATCATACATAAGTGGTTCATGTTAGCTTACTCACACTTACACTTATATAAGCGCGACAATAAAATGTGTTTGCAAAAGGGATGAAAATTGACGAAAGATTGATTGACAGACATTTTCAACAGGGCTTTCATTCATATGACACAATAATTTGGTATCAATATTGGTATCAGAATGAACAAAACAGCTCTTAATTTTTTAAAGTCTGCATTTAGGCTATGACAACTAAGGAAATGGTGCAATCTCAGGTAATCGTAAAAACATACAGATAAACATGATTTAATCTAAAGATGTTGACGTAAAATTCTATTTTTTCTAAGTAAACACATGCGCAGTTTTTTAAGACTATACAATAATATAAACACATCTGTATAAAATTCAAATCATATTCAAAATAATTGTTTTGGAAAAGAAAAAAAAAGACTCAAACATATCAACCTACAAACCTTCCCCATTTTTTCAAGAATCAAAAGCAAACAAATAAAAAAAAATCAACCAGCCGAAAATTCATAACGAAAACACAAACATAATTAAACAAACTACATAGAATTTATTTTATTTTTATTAACAAAAAGTGTGAGGGTCTTGTGCAAAGCAGGTGTGATGTTCATATCACATAAACATATATGCATGTGGTCATCGTAAATGCGTGTAATAGCTACAACTTGACAAAAACTCTTGATCATTATTACCAAATATGAAGTAAGTGTCGACAAACAATAACTAATACAATAATTTTACGAAAGAAACACTTATATATGCATTGATATATATTTTTTAGAAGTAGTGGGTTATTTCGGTAGAACTTCAATTTTTCCACGTTAACTTTTATTTCGGGTGGAAATGTTTATGATTATGGTTGCACAGGGAATCAATGTTACTAATACACATAATTCCGGTTAATCGAAAATAAATTGTAGGTATCCGTTTTAGCCTTTATCAAGATTACATTAACTATCTATGTAAAATAAACTACTGGGTGTTTAAAAAAAAATACTGGACAAGAACAATTTGAACTTTAAAGGTGCACTAGCTGTCAAATTCATGTTCACCGAGTTACTCCCGAATTAGATTGATAACAATGTAAAACAGTTATCCTAATTATAAAAAGTCGAAAGTAAACAATTAACAGGGCATGGGTTCCATAATATGTAGCTTCGTTTCGTGTCTATTTTAGTGTAGACGCCATCTAATTAACCATCGAGTTGATCCCGAAAACAACCGACGGTCACAGTACACTAAGTACATATAAACATAAATATAAAAAGATATATGGACCTCGTGCAAATGGATTGTTTATGTCTGTTTGATTTACATTTAAAGGTTAAAAAAAATAAGTTTATTTTCGATTTTACATGTATAAGAATGATAATATGTTGATCGAATCAGTCAATCACATAATTAACATTTGTTTCACTTTCAATGTTGGCCTTCCTTTCTTTTAATAGCCTTACACGTATCAATCATGCATAATCCATCTCTAGTTAAGGGATTAAATTGAAGTTCAATGAGGTCGAATTATTCACTTGCAAGTAAATAATTCATCATTGATGTTTCTTAGATTATTTTGACAAAATTGAATCATATTGGGTGATAAAAGCGAATTATTATTTCACAATTTCACTTTCACTTATGATTGAACAAAAAATAATCATAACTCAAAAAGCTAGTGCCCCGTTAAGAAAAAAGTATGTCTTTGACTATGCAAACAGGTAGAACGGTTAACATATAACATTTGTTGATGAATAGTTATGCACTTCCTCTTCAAGTTATCTTAGGTACCAGGCTTATAATTTAATACGCAAGACGCGCGTTTCTTCTACTTAAGGCTCATCAGTGACGCTCAGATCAAAATGATTAGAAGCCAAACAAGTACAAAGTTGAAGAACGATGAGGATCCAAAATTCCAAAAAAGTTGTGCCATATACGGCTAAGATAATCTTAGCCTGGGATAAGAAAATCCTTAGTATTTTGAAAAATTCATACTTTTGCAAACCATAAATTTATAAAAAATGACCATATAACTGATAGTCATGTCAACACCGAAGAGCTGGCTACTGTGCTACATATGTAGTAATAACCTTGGGGAAGAATAGAAAGTGCATATGTTCATACTTCTACTCTTACAGAGTTGTCAAGAAAGTACTATTAGACTATGTTGTCACCACAGATAAGCCAACAGCAAGGGTCCCGAAAGGGGTACTTTAGATTTAAAAAATATTAAAAAATAAACATCTATTGAACGTGGCTTTGTTTTCGTTAATCATTTATTTGCATAACTGCAAAAAAAGTTAGATTTCAACCATCGAAACAGCCATGCGTCTTACTAATTTCCTCTTTAGTCAATAAAAAACATAATTTTATCTAAAAACTAAATTCCGAAGGTCGGAGTTTTTTTCTGGGCACTCTAAGCTTTAATGTAATGTCCGTGGCTGCTTAAGCTTGTTGTAGGTGCAACATTTTGAAGAGAAATTACAGTGTCTTTAACAAAGCCCACATGAAATATTTTGGCACCACGACTTAAAGTTTTGAAACTCAGGTCTGTTCCTTTATTTTTTGCCATCATTTTCTAATATTTATTTAGTTCATAGGATGTAAAAAGACATAATGCTTAAACTAATGCGATCAACCTTACAACTTCGTGGCGTTCAATTCAAAATAGCGTCGCAGCGTACACAAAGAATATAACCTATGTTTCATAAGTTTCTGAAACGGCGAATTGCCAAGTAGAATAATTGTTCGTTTTAAATTACCATCTTTGACAAAATTATATGAGAAATATGAGAAAACGATACAAAAAATAATAAAAAACACATGGTTTTTAGATAGTGTTAATTGATTCCGAAAGTAAAACAAACAGTATATCAAATCTTTTAACAACTGTAACAACAGAGTTTGATTAACAAATAGAAACGATCAAAATAAAAAAAAAAACAACATCGCATTTTTAAATGTCTATCGTCGAAGGCCCGCATTTTTAAATGTCTATCGTCGAAGGCCCACTTATGTTGCACTTAATTCGTTGCACATGATTATGTGTTGAGTGTAGATTAAGGTCACTTTCAGTAAACGTTTGCAAAGAACCACGATAGTAAATAAGAAAAGATAATTTGTACTTAATTAACATTAATTTGTCGATTACATGTTATCATGGTTATGAAATCGTAATATGTGTACAAAATTATGCATATGGGCTATAGCTTAGCATATGCACATGCTTGCCTTAATAACATCATAAACATTACAATTTAAAGAAACTCGTTTCATATGACTTTAAACATCGTCTTTTCAGATTTTATTTATGTTTATTTTTAATATTTGAAAATTTATGCATAATGATTCTATATCTATTTTTATATTTTCTATTTAAAGTTACAGCTCAACAAATCTTGTCGTGTATATTTAAAACTTTACAAGGACGTAATATCGATTAGGAACCTACACATTATTTGTATGACAACAAAATCGATGTCGCACTTTATGTATTTCTATGGTGTACGTTGATACATAATTTTTCCAAACTCAGAAACTAAGGACTTTATACGGCTAACTATAAAAAGGGGTATGTTTGTTTTAACCCATCTTATTGTCATGATTATTATCAAGGGTAATGAAGTTATTTTATATGATGTCTTACATCCATGTTTACAAATTGAACCTACATTCCTATTTTTAGGACGGACACAATTTTATCAAGTTCTATAATGAAATTGATTTTAATCACGTTTGAACCTCTTATTCGTTAGGCAATTGTTTGCAATATGCTAACATCAATTAAAGGAGTTTAATGGAAACGTTTAAAATGTTATCACTCAAACGTAACACAAAAGTTTGGAGATGCTACGAAACTCATAATATCCACTATTCGAAAATTGTCGCTGGAAAGTACCCAAATAAATTCGTACCGAGTCTAAATTGTTTTTTTGATTGAAACAGTGGATCTGCTAGGAACAGCAATATACAATGAGATGCATAAATTGTTAGTATTAACAATAAGACAACAAACTTGAACCCAAAGTCTTACATAATAATTATGTGATCGGTAAAGGATACCACAAACAAAAATGTAAACAGAGAGCATACGATCTTCAACATTAAGAAAAACACAAACAGCGATAACATATATATGTATGACAAAATCGGTTATATCCAGTTAATAATAATAATAATGACCTGATTACCGCTAATTCTGGTACATCAAAACCATGTCGAGAAATACTGTATTTTATCGGTGGGCTGTAAACCTAATAAACAGTAAAGAAAGCACACCGTATCTCCTTTGTTCTATTCCAGTCTATTGTTCGTTTTTTTTTAGACAACGGAATCAAAGTTGTATGGCTTCTTTATATTTAAATCAATCAGTATTTAGTTATTTAATTTTTATTCTATGATAATATATAAATGCGTCATGAATTGCTTTCTAGGCCACTGCCAATTAGATCGACCATGAACAAAACGGATGAGAGAACCTTTAACATACAGGACTATCCGTTTGCAGTTGTGATAGGTGTTGTTGTCTATCTGGTACTTTGGGCCTACCAGATATATCGAGGACGTATGTTTTCTATTGTATCCTTAATAAGCCTTTTTAATGTATTTGTTTTTAGCTGAAACAAGACAATATATATGTGAAATAAGAATAGCCGCTTACTTTGCTTATAAATTTTGCAAACCAAGATAAATTAGTCTTCTGCTGCACATATTTCTGTTGAAGGAAGAAAATCATTTGAACAATATTCTATAATAAAATTGAGCATCGAAATCGGGAATATATAAAAAAGACAACAACCCGACCATAAAGAAGACAACAGCCGAAGGCCACCAATTGGTCCTCAACGCAGCAAGAAAATCCTGAACCCGGAGGTGGGCTTCAGCCGGCCCCTAAACAAAACTGTGTATTTGTTCAGTGAAAATGAACGTCATACTAAACTCCAAAACATGAAATACATATTGTAAGCGGGGAAATTGACACTAAAGTTCAAAAATCGTATTCAGATTTGGATAAGTTTGCCCTGCAATGTACAGGACATGAACTATCCCAATGTCTGTCAGGAAAAGATTACATTATTTAATTTCGGATAGTGGGAAATTTTAAAATGTTCTTTCTTTACCTTTTTATTACCATATATAATTAAACTAATAAACATTCACTCATTAATTTTAGTGTATTTCGATTTATAATTGCAGCTAACAGACCACATTATAACAATGCGATAGGTAAGATTAAGCACCTTAGTTTTTATCATATGACTTATCGTAATGTGCTATTGATAAAAATGTAGAGTTTGTGTTTATTATGAATACAGAGTTATGTTTAAGTTTACCAAGAACAATTTTCTATAACGACCCACCATTTTGTATAGGGGAATCGGCATGTTTGATCCATGATGTTTTGGAAATTACTAACCATATAAAAATATAGTTAAACTATGGACGAAATTATCAGAAATATTGCTATGCCATAGTTACTCCTACAAGTCAAATTCCCATTCCAGTAGATGTGGGAATGTTGGCATACAAAACTTCTTCGCAGCTATATTGTTGGCAAACCATAATATAATTTGAGCAGACTAAATTTTAGTAAACATGTTGTAGATCGACCAATAACATGTTTTTATATCTGCATTCATTTAACCTTTGTGGATATAAATGTACAATATCAATGTCGCTTTTACATGATAATGTTATGGATTAAGGGTGCTGGGATACATCATTTTTACATTTTTAAAGATTTTTAACCTGTTTGACAGATCACGAAAACTGTCCAATATATTGAATAGATATGATTAGATATAAACCGGAAAACATTATCATTTTATAACCTCAAATGTGACCTAATGTAAAGGTAAAAAGTTGTCCTTGAGTCAATTATTTTAAGATGTATCAATTGAATCTGTAAATGTCTGGCATGAAATGAACGATATGAAATGAACTGAATATCTTCGGTTGTGTTTGGCAAACCGTCAAATCACAAAAATACTGAAATGAGATGGCAAAATCAAAAGCTCAAGCACACTAAACGAATGGATAAAACTGTCATATTCCTGACTTGGTACATGTTTTTTCTTATGTATAAACTGGTGGATGAAACCTGGTTTAATAGCTAGCTAAACATCTCACTTTCATGACAGTCGCGTCAAATTGCATTATATTGACAACGATGTGTGAACAAAACAAACACAATAGGTAAAAATGTCACATAAAAAAGGTACAACAACAACACGAACACCATCATAAACTGGGGGTGATCTCAGGTGCTCTGAAAGGGTAAGTAGATCCTGCTCAACTTATGGCTTCCGCCGAGTTGCTTTTGTTATTACAAATCCGGTAAATAGTCTAATCGTGAAATTGCTGACTATGCGGTATGTGCTTTGCAAATTGTTGAAAGCCGTACGTTGACCTATAATAGTTAATTTCTGTGTCATTTGGTCTCTTGTGGAGAGTTGTCTTATTGTCAATCATACCACATCTTCTTTATATTTATTAATTGACCAATAAGCTTGAGTTCCATGATTTATACATATTTGTGTCATGCCAACTATAGATTATCAATATACATGAAAGATATAACGGAGACTGGTTTAACTTATCATAAATCAATTATAAATAATAAATAAATAATAATAAAAAATATCAATTTTGAGTGTATTGTAATTCATAATTGCAGGAAACACTTATCCTTCTGACAGACTGATAGGCTCCCTCAGTAAGTTTACGCACCTTAGTTTTTATCATATGACTTATCATAATGTGCTATCGTTAGAAATGTAGAGTTTGTGTTTATAATGAATATTGAGTTATGTTTAATTTTACCAGGAAATTTGTTCTATAACGACCCACCATTTTGTACAGGAGAGTTAGCACGTTTGATCTATGATGTTTTGGAAACTTGCCCTAACCATATAAACACATGAATAAACGAGGAAGAAATTATCAGAAATATTGCTATGCCATATTTATCCCTACAAGGTCAATCCCCACACCAGTAGATGTGAAAATTTTGACATACAAAACTTCGTCGCAGCTTCTTTCTTGGCAAATCATAAGATAATATGAGCAAATTAAATACTAGAATACACGTTGTAGATCGATCAAAAAAATACATTGTACTTTTATATCTGCAGCCATTTTACTTGTGTGATTACAAATGCACAATATCAATATTGCTTATACATAATTGCAAAATTTTTTGGATTAAGGGTTTTGGGATTGATGTGCATGACGTGGAAACCTTAATATATAGTCTTTACATTTTTTAAGAACTTTAAACCTGTTTGACAGATCACAAAAACTGTTCAACAAATTGAAATGATATGAAAAGATATTTAGTGGACAAATTCATCATTTTATAACCTCAAATGTGACCTTATGTAAGGGTAAAAAATCTGACCTGGAGTCAAGTATGTCAAGAAATGAATCTGTAAATGTCTGTAATGAAACAGACGACATGAAATGAACTGAATTTCTTCGATGGTGTTTGGCAAAAGGATTGAAAAAAACTAAAATAAATAAATAATTTACTTTATGTAAATGATGGGGGGAGGGGGATTATGATCTTGAATTTATATAAGAACTGCATATTCATTTCTGAAGGTTTCCTATGTCCCCTCACAAACAAATGTTAATAGGATGTTCTTTCCTTTCACAGATGACCTTTTATAGTGCTCGATTGCTAGTTTGATTTTAAATGATTACGTTTTACACGATCCCCTTTTGTGGAAACAAGCATTTTAGGTTCAGCAAAATATCCTGTTCCTTGTAGTTCTTGTCTTGGTGTTTATAAATAAAGGGGAAAAACAGGACAATTCAACAACAGAAAAAAAAGACATGAAGTATTTTTCAATAGTAATTGAAAAAAATACCAATTGAAAACAGAAGATAAAAGTTATAATATCAACACACTTTTTAATAACATTTAACATGTTTAAGAAATAAACAAATCATACTGTTATTTATATGATGGCTATAAATTGCAAATTAAACATGAAGGTTAGTGATAATGACTTCGGACATTCAGAAAAAATTAACTCGTCCCATTAATTTTTAGATATCATCTGACAATAGAATGATATTGATTAAAAGCATATAAAATATGTTCATGTTTGATTAGGCAATGAAGTGTGGTCAACGTCGTTAAACAGAACAGAAGGTAGAGCGGAAGAATCTTCTTTCGGTAACTTTTCTCAAGGTAACATAATTCTATTTAACATTATAATAAAATAGATATTACCATTTTGAGATGTCACTTGGATACTGAGCATTGTAAGAAACAAAATACATATTAACAGCTATTAGTTTTATTTCTTGATATGCACAAACATATTACTCCATGAAAAATCTTTGGCTTCAAATTCAAGCAGAAGCTATGAATAGCAAATAACTACTTTTAAATTAAAGTAGACTAAGGGCAGTATTTATGAAGTTTCGGTTTCTAATCTTTTTATACTTCGCCATTAACTTTTTAAACTTTCGAACGCAATTGAATAGTATACATGGGATACAGTGGATACTCTCCTCAGGTTATAAGATTTTAAATAAAGGCAACAGTAGTATACCGCTGTTCAAAAGTCATACATCGATTGAGAAAAAAGCAAATCTGGGTTACAATATAAACCCAAGGGAAACATATCAACTATAAATGGAAAACAACGAGACAACATAATGCTGATACTGATATTTTAAGACTGGTACCGTATGTGTCACCAATTATAAAGATTAATTTGAAAAGAATGTATTAAATCATTATTGTAAGCCTTCGAATGTTCTATGAAATGACGAAACAGTGGCTCGACTTTTATTAAACTTAAAAGACGTGATAAGAAAAACACATGAATAGTTCTTTTGTTTATGAAGCTAGCTAAGCATAATTATAGAGAATAACATAATACCATTTAAGTTAGTTAGACAAAAAAGATATCTTGTCTTTTCTAGTTATATTGTAAAAAAGGGGAAAATACCGATATACAAATAAATTTTGTATGTTTGCCTCCTTGTTTTTTCATATTTGTTACACATGTTACAGATCAGACCAACTGTCTGCTGATTTAAGTAAGTTACAGCAGGACCATCCTATATTGTTGGTGCCACCTCCTACACCGGATCCACCGAATCCTCAGTGAGATAGATGTTCTGAATGTTCTGAATCAAGTTTCAAGAACGGATTGTAATAAAAATTGTAGTGAAACATTGACATTAATATGTTTCATACATGCCGATCTTATATATATATATATATATATATATATATATTAAATAGAAATGGCTTTACTCGATATGAGAAGTTAGATCATTACATTTTTTTTGTTTTTATAATTCTTCAGAATGTGATTTCTAGTTGAAATTATAAACGATGGTTTTACGGATATGTCAGAGAGGACATATTGACAAGGAAGGTATACACATTATTTTGCTGCTCCAATATAATTATATAAGGCGTTATCATTTATTTGAAAACAGTTGTTAAATAGTGAAACTTTGTTAACTTTATCCATACATGTATGTAATCCGTAATACTAATTCAACGTTTCATGTAATGAACATATTTGATAAGCTCGTAACGTATGTTCGAATTTGAAGAAATACACAGTATTTTCCACAGTAACAGTTTTGATAGCTTTAAAAGACTTAAAGGCTTACAGAAGCGATATACATCAAATGGTGTTTATTAGGTTCGAAAAAAAAACAACTTCAACATTTTAAATAAGAAAATATGTGGCCTAGATGACACATTTTAATCACAAAACTGTCTGAAAAAGTATACAATATTTCACTTTGTGTATTGTTCAGCATGTTCTGGGAGGGAACCAAATTTATATTTGGTATAATGGGAACAAATTGAGAAAAAACGACGATATTAATTTGTATTTTAGTTAGTGACAATATCACCATTTAGGTTGAACGCTTGGCTTAGTTCCAGTTTGAAACTGAATGATGGACAGTTTTTCATTAAATTCAATTTATTATTTCATATTGATAATTAACGCCTTGATGAAATTACTGCCAGGAAAATCGTTAGGGGTAATATATATGCACATTTTTGTACTTTACAATTAAAATTAATTTGTCAGTTTGAGTTAAATTTTTTAACATCAGTTTTAGTAAAGTAATTTGAAGCTACCTAATTATTTACAACTAAAGTTGTACATTGATTTTAAAGCCAGCAGAATGGTTTGTAGTTGTAAAAGAGGGACGAAAGATACCAGAGGGACAGTCAAACTCATAGATCGAAAATAAACTGACAACACCATACATTTTTAGCTGAAAAATAAAAAGATAAACAGACAAATAATAGTACTTAAGACACAACATAGAGAACTAAAGACTTAGCAACACGAACCCCACCAAAAACTGGGGGTGATCTCAGGTGCTCCAGAATGGTGAGCTGATCCTGCTCAGTAAGTGGCACCCATCGTGTTGCTCATGTTATTACAAACCCGGTAAATAATCTTATTCGGTATGTCACATAAGTGGTGAAAAGGAAAGTGGATTGTAGTATCGATATAAGGAACATATCCGATATCATCTGTGAAACTTTATTTCATAACGGTCAACCAACTCGTGATGGCGTCCGTAAAATTTACGAAGGAATGATTTTAACTTCACCATTTGGAACTCTTGGTTTAAAAGCTGCCTTGTGTAATGGATATATATTTCATTGTTTTCATTGTTAAATTAGTGATTTCAAATATGTTCAAGGTTTCTGTTCTTCTGCTCTTTACACCACTTTGCATTATAATCTCATTAACAAAAGCTACATTCACTTAATAAAGTGGGCATATAGAAAAGGCAGAATGCGAATACATATGTTCAAACTCTTTTATATCATTTTTTAGTAACATCAGACAAAAGAACTATATGCCATTTGGACCTGCTTTGATACGATAACTGCACTTGAATTTTTACTAGATAACATTTTTGTTTGCTATGAAGATCAGTATTTCGTCAGGTAATCGGAATTGCAATGGGGACTAACTGTGCACAACTTAATGCGGACCTGTTTCTGTATTGTTATGAGTTACAATCTATGACTAAAATCAGCAAAGACACCTCAAAACAATCTAATACAAAAAGAAATGATAACACTTTGAGATATTTGGATGATATTTTGGCTCACTTCAACGACATCAGTGTGTACACTTGAGATATTTATCCTGCTGAACAGACTCTAATAAATATTTTACTACCAATGTATTGGGCACAACTTTGTGGAACTTTTGGTCCTCAGTGCACTTCAACTTTGTACTTGTTTTGGCTTTCGAACTTTCTTCATCTGAGCATCACTGGTATGTCTTGTGTGGACGAGGCGCGTGTCTGGCGTATTAAATTTAAACTTGGTACCTTTTGTTAGCTATTATTCGTGTGTTTCTCTGTCCTATATGTTCTCACATTTATTTGTTTTGTAGTCCTGTCATGTAATGTTGTCATTTTAATGTTATATTTAACATTGCCATAAAGGCGGGAGGTTTGGCATGCCACAAAACCAGGTTCAACCCACCATTTTTTTCTTAAAATGTCCTGTACCAAGTCAGGAAAATGGCCATTGTTGTATTATAGTTCGTTTCTGTGTGTGTTACATTTTAACGTTGTGTTTTTGTTGTATCGTAGTTCTCCTCTTATATTTGATGCGTTTCCCTCAGTTTTAGTTTGTAACCCGGATTTGTTTTTTTCTCAATCGATTTATGAATTTCGAACAGCGGTATACTACTGTTGCCTTTATTTACTAAATTGTATCATCGGTACAAAAAACCGCATACGGAAATATTAATCAATATGCAGACATCTTATAGGAAAAGGTAATTCACATCAAATCTTTAATATGTTAAATAGTAATAGTCTATACAAAAGCCCACAAATGGAGTCATTCACCTCCAAAACTTTCAACATACTTATTCAGAAGGAATACAGTTACGATACTTTTTTCAGGTCAATAAAAAAGGCATTTTTATTTTTAAAGCAGTTCTGTTCATTTATTCTATTACGGTATGATACTTAACCTCTTAAAGGAGGAATCGTGGTTGATTTTCATATAATAAAGACACACACTTGCAATCAGTTTAACCGACATAGTTAGATAATACAATTAATTACACAATTATTAACAAAATTTCATATTAATATCCTTGTAATTGTTATAAATTAAGCACTTCATCCCAAATTTATATTTAATTAATTAGAAATTGAACTGTGACGGCACGTTTTATGACGTCGATATATTCGTGTGACGCATCGGTCGTTATTCTATTATGCTGTTTTTCTGTAATGTCGTAAATTAATTTTAGGTGTTCGCTGTTATTCTGTGGTGCATATGTCGAAATGCACTATTATATTATATAATTATGTATTTCTCTGTCCTGCATGTTTGCATCTATTTGTAATGTACTGTATTCCTGTCATGTTATGTTGTCCTTTAAGTAGAATTTTTAATAATTCCATTAGGCAAGAGGTTTGACTAGCCATTTAACCAAGTTCAACCCAACATTTTTGTTCAACAAATATCCTGTACCAAGTCAAAAATATGGCAGTTATTTACAAATGGTTCGTTTCAATTTAAATTTCATTAACGCTTGTTTTTGTTGCACTTCGGTGTTTCTGATGTTCTGTTGTTTTCCTTTTATTGTTAATGTGTTATTCTCGGTTGTAATTTGTAACCCAGATTTGTTTTCTTTCTATCGATTCATGACTTTTGAACAACGGTATACTACTTCTGTCTTTATTTAGGAGTCCTGTGTTAACTTATGTATCATTTATCATTTTTTTAGTTTTTTTTTACCTATTCTGACATCGGACTGGGATTTCTTTTAGACAAATTTTTAGTGTGCGTATTGATATGTGTTTGTTTATTCTACATTGGCCAGAGGAACAGTTGGAGGAATGGGACTTCACAAACGTGTTTAAATCTACGGCATGTTTGATCCTGAACAAAGTCAGGCGCTCCTTGGTTGCTTAGTCTTATATGTTTTTTTTTAGTCTAAGTTCATTTATATGTGTTGGAGTTTAGTATGACGTCCATTTCCACTGAACTAGTACTGATTTTTATCATGGGGCGAGTTAAAGCCCTCCTTCGGGTGCAGGGTTTTCCCGCAGTGCTGAAGACCAATTGGTGGCTTTTTCCCGTTATCTGCTCTTTGGTCTGGTTGTTTGTCCTCTTGACTTGACATAGTAAGGGTTCACAATTAGTACCTACTGGAAAACCGACTGCCTGTCAACAAATATATTGTAAAGTACTAAAAATTAAAATCACAAAAATACTAAGCTCCGAGAAAAATTCAAAACGATAAGCCCCTAATCAAATGGCAAAAACAAAAGATAAAACACATCAAACGAATGGACACAAACTGTCATATTTCTGACATGGTACTGGAATTTTCTTGACAACGATGCGTGAACAAAACAGACATGATAAGTAAAATTGTCATAAGTAGGGGTACAGCAGTCATCACCATCAGGACAAAAAGAAACAAATATTTAACAAAGAAGCATAACAAAGCATATATCAAATTTAACAACCACATTCATTGCTTAATCATTTTTGTAACCGCGCGTTTGACGTCAGAATGTTAACGTCACACATGTGAATATATAAAATAATTTTGTCGTTCAAAGTATGCAGAAATGATAACAGAACAATAACATAAAGGCTACATTTTCAAATTACAGAGCAACGTCTTATGTATCAAAGAAATACAAAAAGTCATACGGACAAAGCACACTAGCAAAAATGAATCATTATTAAATGGTCATGACAAGAGATGTTCACATTTAAATAAAAGCTGCTTCCTCTGAAAAATTAAAACTGCTAGTTGTTTTCAACATGTTCTATGTTTCGATATGTTGAACGCTTTTTTTCGGTTGTGGTTGTGTGATTGTGGATGAATATTACTTTGACACATGTACATATAGAATAAAGGACTTTTTGTTTTTTATACTACATTTATCACAGTAAATAGTTATCAAGGTACCAGGATTATAATTTAATACGCCAGACACGCGTATCGTCTACATAAGACTCATCAGTAACACTCAGATCAAAATAGTTATAAAGCCAAACAAGTACAAAGTTGAATAGCATTGAGTAAAATGATATTGAAAAGTCAGTTCAAAAACAAAAAGTCCTTTATTCTTTTTATTGTTAATTATGAAAAAAATCACTACAATAATAGAGAAAAAAAACCAAACAAACTACTTTTTTTCGTAAATTCACGGCGAATCACACTTGGCGTCACAGGCTGCATTACGTGTTTTGTCACAGTGTAGTTAACATGGCGCTTTCTCTTGCACAAAGTATTGAAAATAAAGTGGTG